GGCACTGACTAAGGTCAACAAGTCATGTACACATGTACTACAGTACAGTACTGGCTGTATTGGCTGGGGTAATCGTAGCACGCACATCTACAGTACATTGTATTGGCTGGGGTAATCGTAGCACACACATCTACAGTACATTGTATTGGCTGGGGTAATCGTAGCACACACATCTACAGTACATTGTATTGGCTGGGGTAATCGTAGCACACACATCTACAGTACATTGTATTGGCTGGGGTAATCGTAGCACGCACATCTACAGTACATTGTATTGGCTGGGGTAATCGTAGCACACACATCTACAGTACATTGTATTGGCTGGGGTAATCGTAGCACGCACATCTACAGTACATTGTATTGGCTGGGGTAATCGTAGTAGTTGACACACATCTACAGTGCAGTGTATTAATAATAAAAATAATAATAATTCGCGGGATTCGCGTTGGCATCGCTTGAATGTTCAGAAACACACAAACTAGCCTTCGCTTCCGCAGGCCACCACTATGCCTATGCCTTGCACACCTTAGTGGCGAATGCAGACCTCACAAGTGAGTCAGGGGAGAGTAGGTGAGTCTCTCAACCAATCGGGCGTGTAAACGGCCCATACTGTACCCTGTAAACTGCATCCTTGTTACCCTCACTCCGAGCTGTGAGTACCCAGTTGACCGTGGGTGTCGGCGCAGTTCACCACGCATAAAAAGTCTTTACTCACGTAAAAAGGCTTTACACGGGCCCTGCTACCAGCGCGGGTCTCGAACTCGGGACCTCATGATTCGCAGGCAGGCCTGCAAACCAATAGGCCATATGCGTTGGTCTCCAGTGTATTGGCTGGGGTAATCGTAGCACGCACATCTATCAGTACGTATGCTGTCCCCGGGGAAAATTGCAATTCCGCGGCCGCGTTTTTTTCCGCGTTTTTTGCGATTTTTTAAAAGACCGCGTTTTCCGCAATTTTCCCGCGTTTTTTGAACTTTTTTGTTACACTACACGTACACACAGTGCACTGCATGTACGGCCAGCAACGTCTCATCGTGGCGGCTTTTTACTCAAATATGACGAGTGCTTACACCAGAGAGTTGTAACTGATTGATTTCACTACATACTCACTGAAAATTGCCGCACATCAATATTATTCACCGCATATTTACCGCATATTTACCGCAAATTCACCGCAAATTATGCCATATTATGGCGCGTTTTTCCCCGCGTTTTTTGCGATTTTTTTCCGCAATTTTCCCCGGGGACAGCGTATGATTTACAACCCGAGTACAAGCGAGTACAAGGGCAATACCGGCTGATACATGACCGAACGGCGTCAGCCGTGAGGTCATGTATCAAGCCGTTATCGCACCCCACGTGAGTGTCTCCATGGTCTGAGCCAATCAGCGGCCTTCCTGAGCGTGCAATATTCCCCAGTACACCGCCAGCCAATGTGGATGCACTGCAGTGCGATATGGCACCCCGGGGAGTGAGCGTGCAAATAACCTATATTTGCACGCTCACTTCGAAGTGAGCGTGCAAATATAGGTTACTAGCAGCACCCGGCCAGCGTTGCCTGGCCGAACGTGGCATGCGGGTGAAGCAAGTACATGAACAGCACATTGCTGTGTAACACCGCATGACCGGGTAGTTGTTTATCAGCAGTTATAGAACTGAGATTTACAATAGTGAAGGCTCATCCAATTATTGGGAAATTGTGCCTTAGGCATGTTGAGACATGTACGTACATGTACATGTACACGTGGCAGCTTGGACATAGAGAGTGTACTTGTGTTCAGCATATGGGATGATGGGATGCTTCATCCTCGAACAATAATGCGAACAGCAATGCGCAGCATGGTGAGTGAATGGAATCACGTATAGAGTTCTCAGTTATTGGGATTAGTCAGCCATGACAACAAATCGACGGCAAAGTACTGCGGCACACCCGCAGGAGACACCAAAACAAATTCAAGGCAGGAGACACCATGCCCTGCACGAAACTGCTAAAGCGTGGCTTCAAGAGACCCCAGAAGAGGCAGAACAAAGGCAAAGTGGAAACCCAATGCAAGGAAGCCATAGGTGCTGTGTAACACCGCATGACCGGGTAGTTGTTTATCAGCAGTTATAGAACTGAGATTTACAATAGTGAAGGCTCATCCAATTATTGGGAAATTGTGCCTTAGGCATGTTGAGACATGTAGGAAGCTGTAGATCTTTTGTATCATTTTTTTGGAGATCTTTCTATTTGCAGAGAACGGTTCACGTGGTCCGTGGAAAAGGTAGCTGCACGATGCGCTCTTCACTGCAGATCAGATGCAGAGTGCAGTCAGTGCAGATCTTTTGTATCCTTTTTTTGCAGATGTTTCTATTTGCAGAGAACGGTTCACGTGGTCCGCAGCGCTTGTGCGGCTGCTAGTGCTACCTATGGCCTAGGGTAGGTGGCTACACGATTCGCACGCTTCGCGTGCTCAGTGCTTCTGCGCGCGGCTGCTACTGCTACTCGTACTGATCGTGTCTGCTAGCTACACTGTTCGCACGCTTCGCGTGCTCAGCACGTGGTGGTGACTACACGATTCGCACGCTTCGCGTGCTCAGTGCTTCTGCGGCCGCTAGCCTGTCCCTGCGGGAATTTGCGGAAAAAACTCTCGAAAACTTGCGCAAGAAATTGCGGCAGAAAGTAACAAAAAATGCGACGAAAAGTGCGGAATGATGCAGAACTTGCCAGGAATTCGCGGAATCATTTGCAGAAAATTGCGGATTTGGGCCAAATCATGAAATTTGTTGCATCGTATATCTACTCGGGAGTCGTACTGTGCAAATAACCTACAGGATCATGGAAAGAACTGCGTGAAAAGTGCCTAAAAATGGGAGATATAGTGCAGAAAACAACAAAAAACGTGGGAAATCGCGGGTTTTGCTGAAAATCGCGGGTTTGGGCCAAAATCGCGAAATTTGTTGCATCCGTGGAATCGCGATTTCCTGGAGGGACAGGCTAGCTACACTGTTCGCACGCTTCGCGTGCTCAGGGCAGCGCTGCTCCGCAGCGCTTCTGCGTAACACACAGACAAACACACGTCACAGGTGCCTCTTCTTTATAGACTAGTATACCGTATTATCTCTAATATAAGCACAGTCTCCAATAATAGCACGTCTCCAATAATAGAACACCTTGGGGCGGCATTCAAAAAATAAAGTGCTCAGTCTCCATTATAAGCACACTGTGTAAATTCATTATCTGTACCGGCGAAAAAATCCCTGAAATGTGTGTGTCATACATGAATTTGGCATGGCAACATGCCTCTGAAATGAGGTTGAAATAATAATGGAACAGTCTCCAATAAAGGAACGTCTCCAATAATAGCACGGGGCGGAGGTACATTGAAAAAATAAAGGACCGTGCTTATATTAGAGATAATACGGTAGATTTGCACGCTCACTTCGAAGCGAGCGTGCAAATATAGGTTATTTGCACGCTCGCTTCGAAGTGAGCGTGCAGATATAGGTTATTTGCACGCTCACTCGCCGGGGTGCATGCAATATCGCACTGCAGTGCATCCACATAGTCATCTGGTCATTGGCTGGCAGTGTACTGGGGAATATTGCGAGTCGCTCCGCCAAGCAGTCGCTGCTGACTTGCTGCACCACACCAAAATTAATAATAATTGGTCGAGGACGCTGTCGCGGAAGCGAATGTGGACCCGGCTTGCGTCCGCCAAGTCAACTTCACAAGCTCCGTGAGAGTCGAGACAGCAGACGCCCAAGTATTGGAGAAGACTGTCGACAGCCGATTTGAGAAACTGTCCGACGCCGCTATCTTCAGCCTCGTTTCTGTTTCTGAGCAGAAAAACAAAAACACAGAGCAGGGAACTGACAAATGGCTCCGCTTATTCGACGAGTATTGTAAAGACACAGGACGTCGCTGTGACCTGAGTACGGTTACCTGGTTACGGCAAGCGACCTAGCTTACATTCTGCGACATGCATACGTCGAATTCCGTCCGAAGAAGGCTGGAGTGAAGTTCTACTCTGCATCAAGCTTGCTCGGTTTCCGTTCCGCAATACATCGCAAGCTAGTCGAGTTGAAGCGGCCCATGAACGTCCACAGTGACCCAGCGTTCAAGGACGCAAACATTGCATTGAATGCTTTCCTCATGAAGCCAAAGAAAGCGGGAGAAGTCAAAGCGGTGGAGCACAAACACCCCATCAACGACGACGACATGAGCAAGCTGTCCCGCTACTTCCAGGATCTTCCGTGTATACAGCAGCTGCTCGAAAGAAGTGTTCCTCTAAAAATGAACGCGACTGGTTGTGCTGTGCTGTATGACTGTGAAATGATAGCAGGGTTGCATGCAGCATGCTAGGGTTGCACCAGACTGTGTGGTGGCAGGGGTGCGGTAAATGTATTACTGCACTCGGACGCGTGCAATAGGGCTTGAAAGTGATGACGTCAAAATGGCCAGGGAGTAGTAAGTTGACATCAGATTTCTATTTTTGGATCCACTAAGGTGTGACTTTGCTATTGCCTAAGTATGTGGGTGCATAGCAACCCACTCATGTCGCATGCAGGTGTGACTTTGATTTCGCCACCAGTTGTAACCCCGCCCCCAGTAGCCAAATCAGTCAGTTTCACTGGCTACATCACCATGCTGTGGGTAAGACCGCTTGAAATGTGCTTGGATCCATACAAAAACTGGATCCAAGTGGATCCAGTTTTTGAATTTTTGAAATTGTTGCTATGCTGTGACGTAGCACTTTCAAGCCCTATACCAACGTCGATATCTGCACTTATGGCTTCGCCGTTCGTGCAGATATCGGCCGGTATTGCACTGGTCCTTGTGCAGTAATACATACATACCAACTTTCCGGTGCACGTGAATTTGCCTGTCGTGTGAATACCTCAGTAGCTGAGTAGGTGCGTGTACGTGCGAGTACATCATGTTGGCGCGGATGATATGTGCACCGCGAGTTTTACTCGGCACAATCATACTTCTGCTTGCTTGCTTTTCTCCTGTTCTCTTTATCTTCTTGCCTTTGGTCTTGCGTTGTGGTTGCGGTGTTGGTTCAAGCAAGCTTTAACTGGTCTAGTTTGCAAGAGCTTTGAGTGCAATTCCCGATACAAACACCCCTCTCCTCCCGGTGTGGCCTCGTCAGCTTCTTTCCTGGCAAATACTTGAACAATGTTTGGAATATTATTTGACAAGCAAGGAGGAGAGAATTATTTTTACTGCTGTCAGCACGCGAGCAGTGGCAAATAACTCAAGCTGTCTTCTGGAGCTGTGGCACTAGGCTTGTGGGCCGTCGTATTTGCCCATACCAGAGAAACTCGCGGAATACGTTATGTGCTGACGACCTCTGTTCTACTGCTCAAGGTAAATTAAAATTTATTGACGTTGAGTGAGGACAAGTGTGGACCATGTGTATGGCCAATCAGCAGTGGTGCTCACCGGCCTTCCCTTCCTCACCGCGAAATAGGCCTTTACGAAATTATCAATGAAATACTGTAGTCTGTAGTCCCTGGACTCACCGCGAAGGCACTGTACATGTACTTGAAACTATTTGAATATTTTCACTTTTTGCTACATATTCATACCGGTACTACTGAAGTACACTAACAACAGGGCCAATTACCTATCCGTATCCAGTATCCGTTGACGGACAGCGCTTCCTCAAGCTCCAATAACAGGCATCACGCTAGAGACATGTATGCCAAACACTGCAGCCTGGTCACCTCTAAGCAGTCTAACAAAACATGTGCACAGACAGTCCTTGTCACTCCAAACAGCAAGCATATCCTCTCTGGGGGCGACATATCCTGACAGTATGACCGAAGTCAAGCGTGACACTGTTGCGTCATGAGAGCAGTGCTGCAGGGCCTGCACTGACCATGTGTCATAGTAGAATAGCGAGTTTGACTGATCTTCCCAGATCAATGAGATCACACTAATCGGGATTTGTTCAATACCTTTTGGACCCCAGCAAAGCATTGCTGCTGGTGAAACTCGAGTCACTTCGGAGAGGATGTATTGTATTTTGAGTGACACAGGATGTTTGTGCAGATGTCTTGTTAGACTGCATAGAGGTGACCAGGCTGCAAGGTTTGGCATACAAGCGTCTGGTGTCTTGCCTGTTGTTGGAGCTTGATGAAGTGCTTTCCGTCATCGGGTAGGTAAAATTAATATATTTTCAGGAAAACCTGGAACACACCCATGTACTGGGTGCCCTGTGGACGGTAATGGAGATGTTCACTATCTTGCAGTGCATGATTCAGAAAGTATGAGCCGTACACTGATACCTCAGTTGTCCGGAGACAAAAGTCACGGGCACTTCGGTCTACCGGGCAGGCACCCTTTGGACGAGTTTCGGTTGAAATATTACTACTCTTTTGTCACTTTTCGTGGAAATATTACTACTCTTTTGTCACTTTTCGTGGAAATAGTGACGTCATGTGCCATATCTATAGCCTTTCCCCATCAAGATGTATGTAACTCAGAGTTACAGACATTTCAAAGTTACGGGCAGTGCTCGGTCCCGGACCACCCTGGATAAACGAGGTGTGAGTGTAACTCATTCCTGTTGGGGCGCTTGAATTTTGGCAATTTTGTGATGCAGTCCATTGAAGTATGCACATGATGGCTATTGCCTTCCAGGATGTAGGCCTGGTTTTGTGTGGTGGTGATGTGACTGAGGTGATGATTTCACTCATAATTATGGTTTGTTTTTAGCTTTTGTCATGTGCTGGTCGGATGTTGTACCAGCACTTACCCTGTGTCCTTTCAAAGTTATTATTGTTGTTTTTTGGGTTCGGGGGGGGGGGGGGGGGGTATTTTGAGGCGTACCCCGATTCCAAGGTGTCGCCAGGTTGTAAGTTGAGTTACGAATCATTTTGCATGGTTGTTGTAGACCCCAAAGGAAGCATACGTTGCAACATTTGATAAGAGTATTTTGGTGGCACGGGAATGTGCCATGGTAGTCACATGGAACTGTACGGGGAAAAATCACGGTTCGCGTCAGACTTGGCTTGAGGCCGAGTTTTGCGCATCCGTAGAAATGCCACCACCCTCTGGGATCAAGGCACTGGTGCAGCTCCTAAAGTAGAAATGCCACCACCCTCTGGGATCAAGGCACTGGTGCAGCTCCTAAAGTAGAAATGCCACCACCCTCTGGGATCAAGGCACTGGTGCAGCTCCTAAAGTAGAAATGCCACCACCCTCTGGGATCAAGGCACTGGTGCAGCTCCTAAAGTAGAAATGCCACCACCCTCTGGGATCAAGGCACCGGTGCAGCTCCTAAAGTAGAAATGCCACCACCCTCTGGGATCAAGGCACTGGTGCAGCTCCTAAAGTAGAAATGCCACCACCCTCTGGGATCAAGGCACTGGTGCAGCTCCTAAAGTAGAAATGCCACAACCCTCTGGGATCAAGGCACTGGTGCAGCTCCTAAAGTAGAAATGCCACCACCCTCTGGGATCAAGGCACTGGTGCAGCTCCTAAAGCGGTGGTAACTATACAGCTACACAAACTATTCAGCAAGCGGACAGTGTAATAATAACACATACATGGCTTCAGGCACTGGTACTCGGTTCTTGCTACGTGTACTAGAACTAAGTTTCACAATACATCTCATTATCCTTAGCTACAAGCACAAATCAATACCAGTCATTATCGCCTTCTCCACATGTCCTTTGCGTCTCTGTGTTTTTCACTGTTTTTACTTGACATTATCTTTCTTTACGGAGTTGTTGTTGCTGTTCATTTTGCTACTCCTTCTTTTTCCCTCCCCTTACTTTTATTTATCGCCGTGGTTGGCATTCACCCACTCTCTTAACATTGGCCGGTGTTTCCACCGAGTCTTGAGATGTTGTAATAAATATATATATAAATAATTGTGAAAAGAAGGACAAAATTTTACAAGTTATGACTAACTGTCCACCAACGTAACCAGATCTTATACAGTCAGCGAGTACGACAAAATGGCACAAAACTGACATTGCGTTGCGCTTTCCTTCCTCTCTTGGACCTTTCCGAACATGAGTCTTCCAAGTTGGAAGGTTGTTGGTTTGCGCCTTGGAGAAGTGTTGGAGCTAGGTGTCAGGTCGCCGAATGTCTCAGTACTCCTTGTCAGTTTTGTGCCATTTTGTCGCACTCGCTGACTGTATAAGATCTGGTTACGTTGGTGGACAGTTAGTCATAACTTGTAACATTTTGTCCTTCTTCTTTTCACAATTGTTATTATTTCTATTATTATTATAAGTATGTAGTTGTCCGTGGTGTACATGCATGCATACATTATTATACATTAGATATGATGATGATGTGATAAATGTGATATGATGATGATGTGATAAATGTGATATGATGATGATGTGATAAATGTGATATGATGATGATGTGATAAATGTGATATGATGATGTAGTGATACATGTGATATGATGATGAAAACTCTGAAATAGAAAAGAGTAGGCTATGGTCAGTACAGACTGTACTATGAAGGTGATAATGACTGGTATGACTTGTGCTTGTAGCTAAGGATAATGAGATGTATTGTGAAACTTAGTTCCAGTACACGACGAAAGAACCGAGTACCAGTGCCTGAAACCCTGTATGTGTTATTCTTTTACTCTATTGACCTTTAGTGCCTTTGCTGCACAGTTCAATGTGCCTCCCATTGTACATTCCCGTCCCACCGAAATACTTATCAAATGTTTCAAAGTATGTTTCCTTTGGGGTCTACAACAACCATGCAAAACGATTCGTTGCTCAACTTACGGCCCGGCTACATCTTGGAATAGGGTACGCCTCAAATATGCCCCCCCCCCCCCCCTCAAAAATTGAAACAACTGAAGTATGGGACACAGGGTAAGTGCTGGTACAACATACGACCAGCACATGACAAAAGCTAAAACAAACCATAACTATGAGTCAAATCATCACCTCAGTCACATCACCACCACACAAAACCAGGCCTACATCCTGGAAGGCAACAGCCATCATGTGCAGACTTAAATGGACTGCATCACAAAATTGCCAAAATTCAAGCGCCCCAACAGGAATGAGTTTCACTCACACCTCGTTTATCCAGGGTGGTCCGGGACCGAGTACTGCCCGTAACTTTGAAATGTCTGTAACTCTGAGTCACGTACATTTGAGGGAATGGCTACAGTCCATTCACAAAAAGATGGGCCCTGGCTCCGGCGAGCTCCCGTATTTGGCGATTTTCAAGATGTTATCGTTCACAGTGCAGTGCTGCGAAATTTGAAATTTGGAAAAGGGTCCAAAAAGGGTACCTGAACTGGGGTTCGAACCGCACAATGCACTGTTGCAGACGGAGTCAAACGGCCTGGATTTTGATGGTTTTTCCCAATTCAGTGCGCTTGGGGCAAAGCCTGGCCGAAATCCTATTCTTGCTACGGCTTGCTGTATGGAGAAATAGACTTCAGAAACAGAATTGGAAGAGGATTCCAAAAAAATTCTAAAAAAACTCAACATTTGACCCATTTATGGCCAAAAGCTAGAAGTCCATCTTTTTCTGAATGGACTGTAGATCTATGGCATGATAATATTATGATGTCACTACAGAGGTTCCGCACTACGTAAGTGGGCGGGAAACCCGTAAATTCGCGAGTTTTCACTCCACTTTTGGAAAGTTGTCTACGTAGAGTACAGTAAAACCCGTAACTAACGACCACCCCTTGGTGCCCGGAAAAGTGGTCGTTAGTGGCAGGTGGTCTTTAGTTAGAGGTTTGCACCGCGCGACCATAATATGGATCCCATTATATGATATGTATGTCAAAATGCAGATGATACAATCCCCCACCACATGCGCACTGGCATTCTTCTTTCAGATCATACAACACTTGGAGAGAGAGAAAATCAAGTTTTTTATACACCGGAAGCGATACGACCTTTTGACACGTATGTCGACTTACTGGGTTTCCAGAGCAGCGCTGGCCTGGCCAGGCAGTGGACTAGTCTATCGACTCCAGCCAGCACAGACTGTCAGTGTGACCTGGTGACTGAGCTGTGTGATTGCACTTCGACAGAGTTTCTCCTTCCAGTAGTAACATCGATCAAAGAGCGCTTTGGATGCGCTCTCCAAGACGTTTCCTATCATGTTTGTTCTTGACAGCACTTGAAATTATGATAGGTGTAGTGCAGTCCACACTGATTCCACAGTAAAAATGAGACTGCGCTCATTTGTCCAGCTGTAGTGTCGAAACGACCATGGAAAATCATCAAAATTTCGAGAAGGAGCTTCAAGCAATGTTTGATTTGCTACATCGCGGTCGCTAGTTACGGGTCAAAATTCGACATTGGGACAAGAAAAGGCGGTCGCTGGTCGCGTTCAGCAGGTAGTCGCTAGTCACAGTGC